TACAATGACGATGTTGGAGACCTTCTACGGAAGACAAAGCTAATTATATGGGATGAAGCACCAATGGCACACAGGCATGCATTATAAGCACTTGACAGAACTTTGAAGGATGCTATGAGTACGTACAGTAATTTAGAAGATATGTTTGGTGGAAAGGTATTTGTTTTGGGCGGGGATTTTAGACGAATTTTACATGTTGTCCCAAGAGGCGGTCGTTCGGATATTGTACATTCTGCAATAAATGCGTCTTACATATGGTATTCGGTTCAGGTGTTAGCGTTAACAAAGAACATGCGTCTAAATTTCGGCCCATCAGATGATGATAAAAAAGAAATGGCTGACTTTTCGAAATGGATTTTGAAAATTAGTGAAGGCAAAGTGTCACATCCAAATGATGGCATTACCGAAATTGACATCCCCCCGGAACTTTTGATAACAGACTATGAAGATCCCATTGTTGCCATTGTGAATAACACATATCCTGATTTCATTCAAAATTTTCAACGCAATGATTACCTCAAAGGTCGAGCAATACTTGCTTCTACATTAGAAGTTGTTGATGAAATAAACAACTACATTATTGCATTGATGCCAGGTTGTCTTACTCATCCATACTATTAACTGTGTTGCATATCGTAAGTACTTTTTCACTAATTTGTTTGTCTTAGCATTACAAGAGACATGCGCGATTACTACAACTCAAATTCAGTTGATAATTCTGAAATTCATGACCCGATGGTAATTGATATCCTCACCCCTGAATTTCTCAGTTCCCTCCGTACCTCAGGTTTGCCTAACCATCACCTAAAGTTAAAAGTTGGAACACCTGTTATGCTGATGCGAAACATAGATCAGTCAGAAGGTTTGTGTAATGGCACCAGACTAATGGTAACAAAGCTGGAAACCCATGTCCTTGAGGCTTCGATAATGTCTGGTAAGGGTGCCGGTAATTTAGTTTACATTCTTTGAATGGATATGTCACCCTCACAATTACCATGGCCATTCAAACTAAATAGACGACAGTTCCCAATTATAGTCTCATATGCAATAACGATTAACAAGTCGCAGGGAAATCTTTGGATAATGTAGGCCTTTACTTGCCAAGAGATGTATTTACACATGGTCAAATTTATGTTATATTATCAAGGGTGACAAAAAAACAGGGAATCAAAATATTGATACATGATGAACATGGAAAGTTCAGAGAAACAACCACAAACATTGTATACAAAGAGGTTTTCAACAATATATGATTTGTCGAGTTTACATAGAATTGATTGTGATGGTTTAGAACTATTTTCGATGTCCACTATGTAAATAATTGTTTTCTTATATTTTTAAAACCTGTTATACCTCAGTATGTCATAGAGAATGACGTCCAACATTTATGTTTGCAACCACACTGAAACTATCACATGCTTGGGAATAGCATGAGATTATAAATCTTCTAATTTGTTGCATAAACCTCTTATGTCCTTATTAGTTTTTATTGTTTTAAGATACTTATAATCTTCTGTGGAAAATTAAGTTTCATAGTTGAAAAATAGATTATAGTTCTATACATTTTCTCAGTGTTGAATAAGAAAGACTAATGTTCAAAAAATAGATTATAGATCTATACATTTTCTCAGTGTTGAATAAGAAAGACTAATTTTCTTGGTAATGCTTTTCATCTTTGTCGTGATATCCTTCGTTTGACGAAACTTGTGGTTGGTGCTAATGTTCAGTTCCATTTGGGTAATATTGATGCTTTCTAACTGGTGGATGGCCTCCAATATACTTTCTATCATGTTGGTCAATTGACTGGTATGCACCGATACAAATATAGGCTTATGAGGCGGATTAGAATGTGCAATAATTTGAAGCACTTGATTTACTACCGCTTTAGCACTGGTCCTATTGGGAAAGGACCAGGTTGTGGGTTTTGGGCCCCAATATGGAGGGTTTGGTTATTCTTTCTTTGTGGTACTGTGTCCCTTCTTGAACGGTGGCTTGGAAATTTACTGGCCTGACAGTTTGAGGGACGCCACTCCAAAGGAGTGCCGAAGACAGTCACTAAGCAACATGTTAAGAGTCATTTTGACTTAGAACTCCGAGCATCTGTTATGCATGATACGCATGATGCCATGCCAGGTAATAAATTCTACACATTCATATTTTTTCCATTCATTCTTCAAGTGACTTCTGCATTTATCTCTTTGGTTTTACTCATGTTATGGTGTTTTGGTCCCCTGAATGACAGAGGGTAGTAAGCAGAATAAGGAAAAAATCATATTGGAGCACACGAGTAATGCTTGGAGTTTCTGGAAGGAAAATGTTTCTTCGAAGGTAATCTATTTGATTGTAATTTGTACATCATGGTTAGTTTAGTTTTATTTCATATGAAATTGTAAAATCTATAACCACATGTGTTTGGATTTATAGAGCACTTAGATGTCTAGATTTTTTTGTTTACTGTTATAGGTAACGTACATATTAAGGCTCAATTAGCAATGATTGTTTCCAATTTGTTTTTGAAACTAAATTCAGTCATTGTAGCCAAAAAAAGGTCATTTTGGATTTAAAATTCTTACTGATTTCCTTATACATTCACAGTAAGTTCCATATATTCAGTTATGTTTCAAATATTCAGTTTTGAACTTTTTTAATATCGTTGTTATCAACTGAAGTTTCTGACTGATCATTGTATTTGTTTCAAATGATTAATTTGGTTCTTGAAATGTTAACTTTGATATATGATTTTGGTGTCTGATTTTCATCTCAAACACCATTCTGATCTCATCATATCACACTTTTCTCCCTCCAGTCTCGCCATTCCATACAGTACGTATACACCACCTCTCCTCCAATTCTTCTTTCCTGTTCATGGATCAATGCTTTTTTGTTTCTTTCCAAGAAAAATCATATCATTTTATTTATTTATTTATATTGATTATGATCCTGCAATTCCCGTGAAAGTTCTTGATTTGTGTTCTATAATAATTTTACATTTTTAGATGATAAATATGTAATTTAGTAATGAGAAATTTATTTGAATTGTAGTGGCTTATATGTAGATTTGATGTTTGTGCTAATATATTTGTTTGGAATGTTGTGCTAAAGTTTGAAAATGGAGAGGATTGTTTTCACTCCTGCACTGGAAGAACTCCAACATGTAAAGTCTGAGCAAGGGGAGATTCTGACCAAGCCTTTCTTGGATTCATGCAGACACATATTGCCTGTTATAGGTGAATGTTTATGGTCTCTAATTTCATGTTTTTCAATGTCTTTGCACCTTTTTGTTTTGTAAAGAGAAAATTAGATTATTCTTGTGTTTAGTGATGGTGTATATGCTATATCTTAATGAATTATTCACTCTTGATCACCTTGTCATCTATGAATCTATGAAGCACAGACACATCTGAGGTTAGGTGTGTCTCTATATTAGCGGGAATATTAGCTTTCCATAGACTATGGAGAACCATCGCAAGATAAGTTGAAATTGGGTCGTTGCTGCGAGATAAAGTTTGGAGACTAAGAAAAGCTGATTTTAAGGAGAAGCCGCAGGGTCGTGCCACCAAGAAAAATTGTCTTTGACAGAGGCTGAAGGAGATAACGAAGATAAGATGCTGTAGAGCTCATTCCTCTCTGATTCTGCAGTAACCGACAACGAATTTTGAGATGAAGAGAGAGACCACTGTCAAATGCCATTTATAATTATATAGATCCAGAATCACTAATTTTGATTCTAGACAATGCAAACAGCAAAAAACAATGGGAAATTGCAGCATAATATATTCACCACCAAGCCAAATGTTCCTCCACGTATCAATACAAGAGTCATCACCTAGTTTGCAGGACACGAAATTCCCAAACCAATTAACCAACCACGAAGAGTCTAGCATTAATCCTTTTACATCGCCATACTTGAACTCTATAAGGGGGTACCAAATTGTGTCTATCCCTTGAATCGAAACGAAGGCATGTCGAAGCAATGATGATCTATGAGAGGGTTAATGACATAAATTTACATCACTTTCAGCTTTTCGGTAATAGAGAAATGAATATAAGTGAAAAACTATCATATAGTTCTATAATTTTCTTGCTCAATTTAGATATGCACTCATATATTTTGATTATCAATTTGAATCTTTTATACACAATTTTCATATGTTATTTAAGTATGATGTATAAATAAATATTTATATATTGGTGTTTGTGACTTATGTTTTTGACATTAGCGGTGTCGACGTGTCCATCATGTCATATATTCCTCTTCACCAATAAGTAATTTCTATGATATAGTTTAACTCTATAACTTCAATATACACACACAATGGATAGATCGTGAAATTATCCTGTTGTAGCCTCATCCGTCTCAAAAATATATGATGCAGCTTTGGTTGATTATTATACCTTTTACTTTTAGACTGTTTAGCATGACATTCTATTTGTTGTACATTTCTTTATCAACATGCCAAATATTTATTATCAAGACTGTATGTCAATAATATATACAGAAATTATACAAAAATTAAATTTAGTGCACCAAAAAAAAACACTTACATTTAATACTATACATCTATGTTTTCATTTACTAAGTGTATACTATATTTCATTCTAATTATATATTATATTTCTTTTTACATATATTTATTTATTGCATATTTTTTTCATCACTTTTCAATCAGTTTCACATATTTTTTAGCATATTTATTTTCTTAATTAAGATCTCTTTAATTAATTACAAATTTTTCTAACTAATTTTCAAATTTTTATTTATCATAATAATATTCTTACAACATTTTCTAAGAATAATATTTTAAACAAATACGCATAACACGACGGACGCCCATGCTACCACGGGTATCCCTCTAGTTATTCTATACATAAAGATTATAAGAAACATACACTTGAAAAAGGAACATGGAAGATTGAGTATGACAAGGCCAAATACTTCCAAACTATGCAATTTACATTTTGTAACACTTAAATTCCCATTAACTAAACTTTTATGTCTTCTATGTCTTCTGAAAGTTCCAATTTCTTCGTCTCAAATTGCTTAGCCATCCAAATTGAATCAATGATTGTCCAGACTGTTGTAGACTTACGAGATTCGTTCGGTAAGGTATCAAAAAATTCTTAAGACCTGCCATTTCATCGAGTAAAAACAAAATCAGTGGTAAATATGGTCATAGTAAACTCATCTCTACATAACAGCATAGCATGAAACTATTATCATTTTCATTAATATGTTACAAGGCATACCATTGATGCACATTGTCTTGTAAAGATGAGCAATGTTGGGGTCTCCTTTAGTCCGCAAAATATGTCGATTCTCAAGGCATTCAAGAAAGGCTAAATCAGCCTTCAGAAGCTTAGCTTGATCATGAGTATCATACCCTATATCATGGCAATAACAGCAGTAATCCAACCAATCAATTGGACGCTTGTCCCAAACAAGAGATCCTCCGTCTTTCCCACTCGACCAGTTTGGTCCACAGTAATGTCCATATCTAGGGAACAATTGAGAAAGAAATGCTCTAACCCCTGTATGCCATGGAACCTTGCAAACATAAGGCCTAAAGCGCAAAGGGGTAGCCACATTACCTTTTCCAACAACATTTTCACGATTTTGTGCATGTCTCTTCAACTCTTTATTGATAGTAGTTGGTCTTTGAAACTTCTCTCCAGCATTATTTGCCCATGGAAAGAAAGAAAGGAATGACAAGGGCCAACCTAACAACTTGAGATCAACACCAGATGATTCTTGTTTAGCTTGCGAAGCAAAAGCTTTGGTTTGAACCGAATGAGTTGCTAAATCTGGGTTAATCTGAGGTTTAACCCAAGGGAGGTCACCAAGAAACCGGAAGTTCATGCTTTACAAAAAATTCTGCTACAATATTACACAGATCTAGCCACCCCACACCAAATACTCCACTAACCTGCTTCCAGAAAACAAAAACAGATAAATCTTGTTCAGCTCCAAAAGAAAATGTGCTAACCAAAAAAGAAATAGAGTTATTTCAAATTGGTGCATCAAATTAGTCCCTATAATTGACAACTCCCTACAAAATTACTTATCAAAGTCAAGTTAATCTCCACATTTAAAGTTCGGACTCCAAGATGGACGGACATTGACACGACAGGGCATGCCCACAGTGCTAATTTCAAAATATAGGACACCGAAAGCTAAAAATGATGTAATCAAACTTGATATTTTTAACCCCTTCATTGATCATTACCAAGGTTGTTAAGATCTCGATCTCACGATTTTGCGATTTCATTCACCCCAATGATCCCAATCTTAAATAGAATCGTGTGTTGTAGCTAAATTATGATAAACATCGTACAACCATTGATTGTGTGTGATCTTAGCCGGTTCCGGCCACGATCGACCGTTTCCCGGTCACTATCATTAACAACCCAGAAGGATGACAAGGTGCTGAGGTGCAACAATTACTGTGCGGCGGAGGCCATTTACCCTACTAAAATATCAGGTAAAAAACTTCAAATATATAGGATTATTTTTGTTTTAGTAATTTCTTAGGATTTTTGTTACAAAAATTATTGAATAGCATCTGATTACTAAATTTTACATGATTTACATAGAAATTGTAGAAAATAGAGCTAGGTTAAAACACATCCCAATTGAAAACGAATAATTTCATAATCAATTCATCAAACTCGGGTAATATGGTGTTTAATCGAGCAACAATCCACAGTAAAAAGAAAATTGCAGAAATTAAAAACAAACCTGAAAACGAATCGGAAGTTAAAAAAAAAAACTTACATGTAACCGTTTGAAAGCCAGTACTCGAATACATGTTACTCACTCAGGTAAAACAGAGAATTAGGCTTCGTTTAATTTCTGAGACGAGGAATTATAGTGATAATTATGGATGGAGATTTGAAGGAAAATTAAGATGAACTTACTTGTGATTGTTTGTTGTGGTGGAGATGCGTTTGATTTGTGTGCTGAGTGGACCCAGTGGCATGGCAGTTAATTCAAAGGAAGAAGGATCATTATAGAGTCCACGTTTTATTACCCACCGGATTCTTTTGCGTATATTAATTCATTTATTTTTGTAGTCATTGCCAATATTAATTTTGAATATTTTTTTTTTTAAAACAAAATTTCAGTTTTTTTTGGGAATAACAAAAGGATTTGTTAAAATAAATAAATACTAGTATAGGGAAATAAATTAGATTTTTTTATTCAAATAACTAATATTTTTAATTAAATTATCAAAGTAATATGGTTTCCACTAATTAAACAAAAAATTAATTAAGAAGTGTCGTCAATTCCATCAGAGGTAAGGGTGGTAAAGCGGGTCGGATCCGTTGGTCTGGTCTGTTTGTTTGGCTATTTTTGGCGGACTGAACGAGTTTTTGACTCGAAGTCTTAAATTAGTCAGTTCTGTTTAATCCACTTTAAAACGAGACGAGGCGGATTTTGGTGGATTGGGCGAGTTTTTGACTCGAAGTCTTAAACTAGTCTATTTCGTCTAATCCGCTTTAAAACGAGGCGAGACGGATTTTACCCGCGATCTTTTTGTTAAAATTTATTTTACTTTGAATTAAAATTGAACAATGTAACCAGGAGGCTTATCCACTAATTTTTTTTCTTTATTGATAAAAAATAGATTTTGAATATTTACATCTAACATCATCATGAATTGAAAAACTTATTTTCATGTTTTGTTTCATTTATATGAATGGTAGACGCAAGTTGCAACCATGAAGCTCAATAATTTATGATATATGAATTAACAAATTAATAAATAATAAAATAATATTTTATTTATTTATTATTGTTTAGTAAAATACTACAATTTTTTATATATTTTATTATATAATAACTATTAAAAGTGTATTATTATTTAATAGGTAAGGACATATGAAATAAAAAAATCAATCAATATAAAATTTGTAAACAAAGTAGTAAATAAAATTGTAAATAAAGTAGTAAATTATTTTTAAAAAAATCGTAAATAAATTAGTAAATTAAGCTAAAAAAATTTTGGCGGACCGGTCCGCCAATTCGTTAAAAAATGAAACGGGTTTGCCTTTTGAGCTCAGACACTTAAGTTGGTCAGTCCTACCTCGTTTTTAGACAGATTTAAATGAGATGGATCTAAACGGAACACACAACCCGCTTTGTCACCCTTAATCAAAGGTGTCTCCAATTAAATTGGTGATTGTGTACAAATGAAAATATCAATTCAAATACTATACCTCTTATAAAATGTATGCAGTCTCCAATTAAATTGACTACACCACATATAATCATCAATTCAACTAGCAACAACTTTGTGTTTCAATTTTTTTGTTTTGAAATTGGACTACTTTGAAAAATAGCTCCAAATATGTGTTACTTTCAAAAATAAATTAAAAGAGTTGATTATTTAAATAAAAAATTCTAATAAATATAGTTTCATTTTATAACTTTAATCATAATCAAATTTTATTTTATTTTTACTTAAACGAACATTTTATTTAAATGGCCGCACATCCTTTTAGGATTGGATGTGGTGTCCTTAATTTATATATAATTGTATTTTTGGTTTGGAAATGCTCTTTGGTTTTTTATGGAATGCGTCCCACACTTTTAAAAATTTGAAAATATCTTTTATATTATTAGATATGTTTTTTCGGACACACCTAAAATCAAACATGTCTTTATTTTTTTAGTATCCACTCCATTTTAAATAAAATATAGTCTGGAGAGCATCTTTATATATTATTTGGTTATTTTCGAATATGCGTCTTTGAAATACCCCTGAAGTCATTTAAAAGTATAGGACATGAGATGTTTCTGAAATGCATATCCAAAAATTCATCTGGATGCTTACACAACAACACCGTCCCAACATTGCCTGAGTGGTCTTTCAGGAGTGTCTTGGTGTCATCATAGGGTGTAAATGTTGGGATTTTATGAGGGGTTTTTCAAACTTTTTGATCCTCTTAGTGGAATAATCCCGAAAAATAGATCTTGATTAAATCATCAATCACAAATCAACTTAATCAAAATAAGGATTCAAGAGTTACCTCTTGAAGTGTGCTTTATCTTTGATCACGAACATCGGAAGATATTGACGTCTCCACGTAGTCCACATGAGTGCAAAATGGAATGCAGTGCTAGCTGTCTCTTGTTCTCTTGAAAATTGACAATTAATTTTAGCAAGGGGAAATAGCTCATCTATTTATAGAGAGCTTCTAAAACCTAATGCTCTTAATTTGGGCTTTTCCAAAACAAAACCAATCTTATTTAATTAAATAATTATTATTTATATTTAATCAAACTCTTCTAATTAAATAAAATATTAATTAAATTAAATCATATTTAATTTAATTAGCTGTCAATTCTCATTTATTTAATTAAATCATATATAATCAAATAAGTTATATGTGTTAATGTATTAAATAATTTAAATACTATTAACACATAATTAAATTAAATCTTATTTAACTTAATACGTTCATTCCACTATCAACACTTTATGCGTGTGACCCTATAGGTTCTCGTAACGTTGGCAATAATATTAAATCACTTATTTAATATTATAAACAGTGAGCAGTATCTAACAACACATCATTGCTACCCAAGTGACGAGAATGTTGTGTGATCTGACATAACCTTTCTGTGATAATGATCATGTGTACAATTATCCTTTTGCCCTTATATCTATATTGAACACAAGGCATAAAATGTGTCACCCTTGTATAGTTTAATATTTTATTTCTTGATCCCAGAGTATACTTGATGATAACAAATAAGCTCAATATCTCATATTGACTTATTTGAGCACGACCATGCATTTTACAGTCATACTCTATCAAGGGGCCCATAGATATTACTCTCGTATATGTAGAAGGGATAAATCTCATCTAGGTCACTCATATCCCTCAGCATGATTTGTAAAGTACTCATCAACCATCTTTATGGTTATCCTGTTACAGATGACATTTAATTGACAATAAAGTACTCGACTCCACATCTAGGGTCCATAGTAGTTTCAGGTCGAATGGTGACATACACCACTATCACTATGAGAATAACTTATGACACTTACATAACAAACTATGTAGTATTCTCATGGCGGGTCAATCTAGTATAAATATTACTCCTAATATTTATACCTATGTGAAGACTTGATATCTCATATCCATGACTTGTGAGATACAGTCATCAGTCTACTCACATAATAATCTCTATGCATTACTGTTGTCCTATTTGACAGTAAAGTTTGACTACGTACTTTAAGAATAACGTCTTTATGTTTAATGAGCTCTCACAATTAAGTTACACTTAATAGGTCATTACTAGAATAATTATTCTAAGGACTTTACTATGTCTTATAAAATAACATCATAAATATGATGCCTAATAAGTATACACATATTGACAAACAATATATATCAAGGTCATGATACAAAAGCATATTAAGCCACTATTGATCGGCTATTAGGGCTTACTCCAACAATCTCCCACTAGCACTAAAGCCAATCAGATATTAATTTAACATTTAATTGCCCATATTATGCATCAAGCATCATCTAAGAATGATACTTTGTTAGGGTATAAGGAACTATTTCCTCTGTTGGTAATATACACCTCTTCCTATTTCAACTTTCAATCTTCTATCAAAATAAATTGAAGTGTCAAACTTATATACATGGATCGCTGGTGAGACCTAGTATTCTGAACTTGCAAGATTAACCCATTATCATTGTGAATGAGATCAATATGATCTGCAATACAAGAAACACAATTTTCTTCCCAAGAATTATCAAAGCAATCTAAATCATATATTTGACCTTTGTACTAGAAACGATAATTGTTGAAAACTCTTTTCAACTTATACAATTACCATC